AAAATCTTAACACATACAACTTTTCGTTTTGTTTTGCATTCTTTAAGCTAATAAAATCAGCTCAAACAATTTTCTCACTTTTTTGTTTTGCATTCTTTTAGTACAATAGAAACAAGGCTCTGATACCAAAAAGTCAAGCATCACCTCTAGATTGGGCCTTTTCTTCATTGGTGGCTTGTTAGATAGAACCTGGGGGCTGTTTATATGCTTTAGTGCTTTTTTTTAATGATAATAATATGAAAAAGAAGAGAGATACACAAAACAAAATTTTGGCTTCCTTTTCATTGAATATTCATTCTGATCATGCAAAAATATATATATATATCCTTCTCACTCATCCAGTGTGAATAAAAATCCATTAATAAGTAGTAGGCATGAGCTTAGCCAAGTTAGCAAAAGCAGATGTGTTCCCCACTCTGCACCCGAATTCGAATCCCCCTCCATGTAGTTTAGATTAGTTTAAAGTAAATTATCGCTTGTATAAAAAATATTCATTAATAAGTACAGTGGCGGAACCAAGTTACAGGCTAACTTAGGCTGTAGCCCAGGGATGCTTTTGAGTGAAAAAAAAATTCATACCTATATATTTGACTTGTTTTAAATATAACCCAGTATGTATTAATCTATTAAACTCCAAAAAAGATCAATTCTCTATGAATTTAGTTATATGGAAGTAATAAAAATACATTTTAAAATAGGAATACTTTCAATTTCGTTGTTGAACACATTTTCATTTTGATAATATTAGTTTTCTTACTGCATTTAATATGTATTTGTTTTATGTTAAAAAGTATTGGAAATTAGTCAATGGAGCTATGAACTAGTGTGGTTTATATTAGTTAATATAAATGTTTATTTCTAGAAAGGCTATAAAAACTGTAAGTACCCAAAAAAAAGTTAATTAGATTTTATCCTTAACACTTTAGCTAGCCCACCCGTTAAAAAATTTCTAGTTCCGTCCTTGAATAAGTACACAATATTTGACTTTAATAACGCAAATGACAAACAATAAGTCCAAAAGCTTGTGACATAGTATGGTTTTTTTTTTTTTTTTTTTGTTGAGAAAAAGTGATAGAAATATTAGATGAAACAGAAGAAGAAAAAAAGTACAAAGAGTCATCCCAATATGAGTATGATGATATGGCAGATATGTGCAAAACTTTTCCTAATGACTTTAGCTGGCGAAAAAGCTAAAACGATAAGAAGAGAATTACTCCCAACAAAAATTAAAGAGCCAACGCTAACTAAGCCTTACAACACGACTTTTGGACTAACATGCAAAGCCAAAATATTGGGGTTCACTTAAGATATTGACCAAAAAGAAAGAGAAACGAAGTCATTCCACCGCCCTCTTTTGAGTAGAGAAAGTTAGAGAGAGAGGCTCCTCCTTCTCTCTAAGTTTTCTCTCATCTCCACCGCCCTCTTCTGAGTAGCTGGTGTCTCTCCCGCCGCCCTTCGGGGCGGCTGCTCCGCCACCTTTGGTGTGGCTACCCTGCCTTCTTTCGTGTGGCTCTTTTCTTTCACTTTCGTTTTGTCCTTTTGAAAGCCCTTCCTCTTTTGTATTCTCTGTTGCAGACCCTTAAGTCTTCTACTTCTTCCTCTGATCTTTCTCTCCCTTTGTTCTACAGCCCTCACATCTCCCTCATCTCTCTTTCCTTTCATCCCTCCCCCACTCTGTCGACCCGTTTCTCTTTTCCCACAAAATCTCAAATTCAAAAGTCCTCTATCCCTAAGATTTATTTGGTTTGCCACTGGATTGCTGCAGTTGTTCTACTCCATCAACCCATTCTCAGATCT